CACACACCCACACACACACACATAGCTTATACATAATTGGTGTATAAATTTGATATTAAAAATTTTAGATATTTTTATGTAACAATATAATCCATGTTCCCATGATTTGAAATTGCTATATTATGTTCCTTCATACCAAAAACAAGTTTATAAAAGGTTTTTTTAGCTTTAACAAAGTTTTCGTTCAGTATTAAACCAGCAAAATGAAAGTTACACCCCTCATATCTGCCTGTGCTTCTGTAGGGTTTCTATTTGATCTTCTTCTGTATAAATGTGCCTAGTTCTAAACACCACTTCACAGAGCATGTAAATGATAATTTTCTTTTAGATTACTTTCTCAATATCAAAATACCAAACCAAACCAAATCACTGCCACCAAGTTGATTCTGACTCATAGCGACCCCCATTGGATTTCTGTGGCAATAAATCTTTAAGGAAGTAGATTGGCCTATCTTCCTTCTTTGGAGTGGCTGGTGGGTTTGACCCACCAACCTTCTCATTAGCAGTCAAATGCCTTACGCAGTACACCACTGGAGCTCCGTAATATCAAAATAGGTACTATAAAAATAGGAGTAAAAGAAAAATAGCAAAGGAAATTGAAAATTTGTCCATAACCTCACTGCTCAAAAACCTCCAACATGTCTTAACATTTTGGTAGAAACATCTAGTTCTTGCATTCCTTATAGCAGTTCATGGTTTTCAACTGACATGCCTTCTTAAGGTGTTTATGAGCTCCAAACCCAAACCCATTGCGGTTGAGTTGATTCTGACTTGTGATGACCTTCTGTGTTACAGAGTAGAAAGGATTTTCTTGGCAGTGAGGTTTATGGAGACAAATCGCTAGGCCCTTCTTCCATGTCACTGCTGGGTGGGTTCAGACCCAACCTTTCACTTAGCAGCCCATCATGACCAACCATTTGCACCAGGCATTAATGGAGGCCCAGTAACATCAATGCTAGGACTCCATTTTCATTGAAAATTGTTAGAACTTGTGAATCACTGGCCAAATTCTTCAATGAATAAACAGCCTTTTGAGTCCTGAAAGGAGAAACGTGATGAATTTTAGAGCCACGAGTTGGTGGAGCGGAGGTGTACTCGAGTACACTTAATGCCTAATCTCAGCCTGTAAATGATTACAGGCACCAGCAAACAGTGTTCACAGCAGTACCTCTGTACCTCAGTTCCCTTTTCCTTCCCTCTTCTCCCACTGCCCACAGATGGAGAAATGAATGAAATCAACATTGTTTTCCCTCCAATTATCTGATACACATAACTTGTTGAGATGCTCACTATTACTTAAAAAATATATATTAAAGCATTCTCTGTTTTGCAGCTGGTGGATGACACTAACACAACACGAAAAGTGATGCACTATGCCTTAAAGCCAGGTAAGAAGTCTTTTTGTTTGAAATCTTGACTCTGGACCACAGTAGACCAAGGTGTCAAATACTTTTTATTCTGCGTGTGTGCGTGTGTGTGTGTGTTTAAAAGAAACAAACAAAACTTAACTCCTCTCCCTTTTTAAATGATGTTCCATCAAATTTGATTTTGCATCCACCTTGGTGTTGATGCCTCAAAGATCAAAGCCGGCATGGTGGGTTAGTCGCTGGGACTGAATAAATAGTCGATTGTCCTCAGAAGAAAAGCTGGAGGGGAGGTTTCCTTAGGCGGAATTCTCATGTCTCGAAGGTATTTACTAGACCAGCAGACTCTCACTGTTGAATTGTTTTCCATAACCCTTTCAAAATGAACAGTTGAAGAATCCTTTTATAAACACAGAACCAGTCCTAGGGAAAGGTGGTTGAGTGGTCCTGGAACCTGTTACACGGCTTATGTTTTAAAAGAAAAAAAAATAAAAAAGTTATTTCTCTTTGAACCTGTTACACTACTTAAGTTGAAAATACATCCCTTTGAAATCTCTCAGTGCATTCCCCATGGGCCGGCCCCATCAGAGCCATTGCCATCACGGTGCCGCTGGTCGTCATATCGGCATTCGCCACGCTTTTCACCGTCATGTGTCGCAAGAAGCAACAAGGTATCTCTTTGTGTGGCATGTTCCCCTAAGGGGAAGGACTGGGGTCCCTGCCAACAGAGTGGGAGACTGGGAGTGGTGGTTTCTGTGCCAGCTGAAGTGTGCCCAAGGTCCCAGGCAGGCATCAGGGCAGCCATGTAGGTCCTGTTGTTAGTTCCCTGGCTGGTGTAGCCAACAGCAGTTGAATAGGGACAAAACATAAATTTCCTAGAATTAGATTATTTGGCTTTTAATTTAAAAAAAAACCAAACAACCTGTTGCCATTGAGTCAATTCCAACTCATAGTGACCCTTTAGGACAGAGTAGAACTGCCCATAGGCTTTCCAAGGCTCTAATCTTTATGGAAGCAAACAGCCTCATCTTTCTTCCATGGGGCAGCTGGTAGGTTCGAACTGCAGCTGAGTGCGTAACCACTGTGCCATTGGAGCTCCTTCTTTTAACTTCGGGGCCACTAAAGGACAGGTATAATTCTGTTCTCAAATTCAGTAAAATTCTCAAATTTTAGCAAAAAGTAGTAAAGTAAAGACCGTCTTAAATATGAGTCTCTGGGTGCTACAGTTAACATTCTGGCTGCTAACCAAAAGGTTTGAGATTTGAGTCTTCCCAGTGCCTTGGAAGAAAGGCTTGGCAATTGATGTCTGAAGAATCACTCCTTGCAAACTTAGGGAACACAGTTCTGTTCTGTCTCACATGGGTTGCCATGAGTCACAGTGGACTTGAGAGCAAAAATAACAGCAAGGGCAGAGGTCGAGTTTGATCATCATACATTTTAGGCATAGTGAGAGCCTCCTGGGTGCTGGGAGTGTTCTTACTGTGATCCAGGTGGAAGTTAAACTGTTGTCTATTTAGGTAGCAGTTCATTGAGTTGTGCACTTAAGATGTATGTACTTTGTTTTCTATAAATTATACCTCAATTTTATAAAAAAAGTTTAAAAAAGAAAAGAGCCCTGCCAATGCTTAGTAGGTTCTTGTAAGTGCATGTGGTTTCAAGAGCCAGTTTCCAGCACTCTCTGCTGACCTGGGTGGGTCCCTGCAGCATTCTTGGCTTGTCTGAGGTCAATTTCAAGTTAAGAACAATTTTTGGCCATCTGTTGATCCACTGAAAAAATCAGCTCCCCATTGTCCGTGATAGCCAAGGGGCTGATAGAGCCGAGAAGCTGGGACTGCAGGACTGTCTTCAGGGTAACAGTGCATCCCAAGTGCTAGGGAACAGGACAAAGCATTGCTCGTGGGTGTCAACCCTATCTTCTCTTCCAATTTAGAAAATATATATTCACATTTAGATGAAGAGAGCTCAGAGCCCTCCGCATACGCTGCAGGACTCCCCCGAGAGAGGCTCCGGCCACGGCCCAAGGTCTTCCTCTGCTATTCCAGTAAAGACGGCCAGAACCACGTGAATGTTGTCCAGTGCTTCGCGTACTTCCTGCAGGACTTCTGCGGGTGTGAGGTGTGGAATCTAGTCTGTTCTCTATTTTTTTCCTTAAATTTTATTTATTTATTTATTTTAAATTGTGATTTAGGTGAAACTTTACAGAGCAAATTCATTTCCATACAGCAGTTCACATACACTTTGTCTCATGACATTGACTACAATTTACCACAATGCAACAGCTCCCTCGCACTCCCTCCTGATAGTTACCTGTTCCCTGTGTCCATCCCTCCATGCACTCCTGCCCCCTGAGCTGTCTCCCTGTGCATTAATAGCCCTTCTTTCTCCTATGATTGTTCTCTCCAAGGAGTATATCTCGCTAGTGTAAATGTTCACCTCGTATGCCTGCCTTTTGTTTGGCTAGAAGCCACAGGTGTGGATTCAGTTCCACACCTGGAAGGGGCAGCTAGGAGCCATAGTCTCAGTGGTTCCACCAGGCTCTATCAGACCAGCAAACCTGGTCCCTTTTTCTTTTTTTCTCAAATGATTTTTGAGTTTTGTTCTACATTGTTCTCCCACCCTATCCAGGATCTCTTACATAGATCCCTCTCCAAGTGGTTGGTAGCCGTGCACCATTTAGTTCTTCTGGTCTCATAGGCATATAGGCTGAGGATTCCATGGTGTACCAGTTACTTGGACTAATTTTTTCCATGAATCTTTGCTTTTCTCGTTCTTCTTTGCTCTGGACGATGAGAGACCCGTTGTTGCCTCTAGATGGCTCCTTGCAAGCTTTTAAGATCCTGGCCACTACTTGGCAAAGTAGGAGGTGGAATAATGTTTTGCGTAGTGTGTTATGGCAATTGAGCTTGATGTCCCCTGTGTCTAGTCTGTTCTCTTAACCCTGGCTCTGACACATACTCTGTCCTCTGTCCTTGCCACTTCTCCCTGCTTCCAGGCCCATCTTAGTGACACCTGCCCTGGAGTTGTGCCATAGCTTCCAAATTGAGACTGGCCTCAGTGTTCTTCTTTTAGTCTCCCCACCTGTCACCAGCACTAAGTATCTCCTGACACCCTGTCCCAACCCTGACATACTCCTGCTCAAAAGCCTGGCACTAGCAGGAAGTTTTCTAAGCATTAAAACCATCATGTAGGGTGTGGGAAAGTGTGCCAAGTGGTGGCTGTTCTGTGCACATGCACCATGAGAGTGACCACTAGTGAGCATGTTCTGGACAGAAGCCCTGTTGTTGTTAGGTGTCATTCAGTTGTCTCCAACTCATAGTGACCCTGTGTACAACAGAAAGAAACACTGCGCAGTCCTGCGCCATCCTCAGAATCCTTCCTGTATTTGAGTCCATTACTGTAGCCAGTGTGTCAATCCATCTCATTGAGGGTCTTCCCCTTTTTTGCTGACCTTCTACTTTATCAAGCATGATATCCTTCTCTAGGGACTGGTCCCTTCTGACAGCATGACCAAAGTAGATGAGACAAAGTCTGGCCATTCTCACTTCTAAGGAGCATTCCAGCTGCACTTCTTCTAGGACAGATGTGTTCATTGTGGCAGTCCATAGTACTTTCAGTATTCTTTACCAACACTACAATTCAAATGCATCAACTCTTCATTGGTGTTTCCTTATTCGTTGTCCAGCTTTATGAGGTGATTGAATATTCACTGAGCATATGAGGCCATTGAAAATACCATGGCTTGGGCCATTAGAGTGGGTCAGAGAGAACAGGAAGAAGGAAGTATGTTTGGACAATTTAAGGGGGAACTTTTTCTAAGAAGGGGAATAGAAAAATGAGGTTGCTGCTGTAGGGGACCTTGGAATACAGGGAGGAATGTTTAATAAAGGGCTTTGTGTGGACATTTGACCATTGACTGATAAAGAGCAGTGAAAAGGGAAAGACCAGTGCTGTGAGAAAGAGGGCATTCTCCAGGAGGCAGGAAGGCAAAACCCCCAGAAAACAGTAATGTGTCAAGCACTCAAACTGCTTTGGTTTCTTAGCCATTCTCTTGAGTTCAGCTGTTAAATCTGTAGCTTCTCTATAAAGTTGTAACATTGATTTTTAGAGTTAAATCTAAAGCTCTTGTGGAAAGTGCACACTTTCTTAGAAATGTAGGAATTGTGTAATGTGTAATTGAAAATTGTTACTGTTTGAAAATGCCCACTGGTGGGTTTCTCAGAATCTCTCCACGTAGTGAGGTTGCCCCCTAGTGGCAAGTATACATATATCCAAGGCAGGCCAGTTTTCCCCTCAAAGAACAAGGTTAGCAGATGCGAGTGCTGAGACACAGCTGCAGATTTACTGTCTTCAAATGCCACAGACTACCCAGTTCGCTTTGCCTTGCAAGTAATTATCATCAGGGGGTAAAAACTTTTCCAATTATGAATGAAATACTTACTGTAGAAAATTTGGAAACTATACAAAGACCTACAAGTAAATACTTGCCTTGTTTTTAATCCCAACCTGGAAAAAGAGGAAGCTTTCAAACAGTTAATGTTTGATGTCTTTCCTGCCAGGTTTTTTGGGAACAGATGAACTCATACATATAGTTTTGCATTTGAGACTCACTGGAAAATTTTTATGTTTGTTTGTTTTACAGTCTCTTCACTTAGTGACCTTCTGTGTTATCATCAGTTCTATAAACACGGAATTTTTAATAACCACACAATCCATAATAGTGGTTCACCATAATTGGGTTTGCTCAAAATGTTAAATATTCCAGTAGATAAATTTTATCCCATTTATCATAATTTTCCAAGAATAAACAAAAAGCTTACTGCCTTCATGTCAGTTAGATTCGTAGCAACCGCTCCTTGGGTTTCTGAAGTGTTATCTCTATGGAACTAGATTGCCCAGTCTTCCTTCCGCCTAGGAATGGAGTTGTTAGGTCAAAGATATGAACATTTCTGGATATAGATGAATTGATCAGTATATTGGTGTACATTGTCATTTAATCTTTAACTTGTGTAATGTTAGCAAGAATTCAGGAGAGGGTGACACAATTCAGGGTTATTTTTAGCAAGTGGGTGGATTCTGGGGGCTTTCTTCCCTTTTGCGGCATCTTAAAGCAAAAGAGAAGAAGAAAATCTTTAAGAATTCTCTTCCCCTGTGAGAGACTATGGCTGGCTTAGTCATAGCCACTGGAATGTAGTTTCTGAATTGTAAGAGGAAAGAGGCCAGCGTAATTGCTAAGAGACATATTGAACAGAATCAGAGAAAAGTGGCGTGAATAAAAGATGAGGCCCTCTGAGGGGTGCCTGGTTTTCTTTCCTTTGTTGGTGCCCGCACCTTGCTCCAACCCACCAGGTAGTTACCCTTTGTTCTGGACAAAGGCTGAAGGGATGTGCCTCTGCAGATCACTGTGAGGCCACGGAGGGAGACACCAGTCACCTGTGAGTGAGTTAACCAGAATGGCTGTGTCACTGTAGTTCAGCCCCCTCCATTCCAGCCATCGATCACCAGTAAACAGCATGGACACTCAGGTGGGGCTGTGAGAGTAGACAGAATAATGCTCTTTGTGCAGTCACACTCTCCAGACATGGTCACTCAGGATTGTGGGTGCCTCTGACGTCCAAGTCTGAACTCCATTTTCCAGCCCACTTAGGGGTCACTCACCACATCCTCCATCCTCTCAGAGTCTCCCAGGGGGGCTTTCTCTCCCGGCTCTGCCCTTTCCCAAACAGGCAGCCTCACCCATTAGATATACTCACACTAACCGCAATTCCTCCATCTTCCGGGTGCTCTACCACCCTGAGTTCCTTGAGGGTGTCACATGGTTGTGTGGCTTAGACAGGTTGTTGAATCTCTGTGCTTTTGTCTCTCACTTGTAGGATTAGGATGGTAAAGTACTGACCCAAACTGACACTAAAATGACCCCCATATGATGAATGGCAAGCTGTTACAAAGGGCCTGGTGTGTGGCAGTCACCCAGACAAGGTAGTAGGTAACTTCATGCCTGCACACAGCAGTGCTAGTGAGTGTTAAGGGGTGGGTGATGTGCCTTCATGTAGCCTTCTTGTTCTTGTTTCTCCATTCTCCAGGCTCTTCCTGAGCACTCTGTATAGTGAGATAAGACTCCCTGTTCTTTCCAGGTGACTCTAGACCTGTGGGAAGACTTCAACCTCTGCCAAGAAGGACAGAGAGAATGGGTCATTCAGAAGATCCATGAGTCCCAGTTCATCATTGTGGTCTGTTCCAAAGGCATGAAGTACTTTGTGGACAAGAAGAACTATAAGCACAAAGGAGGTGACAGAGGCACAGGGAAAGGAGAACTCTTCTTGGTGGCCATGACAGCCATCGCGGAGAAGCTCCGCCAGGCCAAGCAGAGTGCCACGGCGCTCAGCAAGTTCATTGCCGTCTACTTTGATTACTCCTGTGAGGGAGACATCCCTGGCATCCTGGACCTGAGCACCAAGTACAAACTCATGGACAACCTCCCACAGCTCTGTTCCCACCTGCACTCCCGAGACCAACTCCTCCAGGAGCCAGGGTATTACCCCAGACACGTCAGTAGGCGGAACTACTTCCGGAGCAAATCGGGTCGGTCGCTTTATGTCGCCATCTGCAACATGCACCAGTTCATTGATGAGGAGCCTGACTGGTTTGAGAAGCAGTTTGTTCCCTTCCCTCCTCCCCGCCTCCGCTCCCGGGAGCCGGTGTTGGAGAAGTTTGACTCTGGCTTGGTTTTGAATGACGTCGTATGCAAACCCGGGGCCGAGAGCAGTTTCTGCCTGAAGGCTGAGGCGGGCATTCTTGGGGCGGCCATGTTGTCCAGCTCCCACTCAGGGAGTCAGCATCTAGGCCTGGACGAAGACACGGAGGCCCGGACCACTCCTGAGGGCAGCTCGGTCCTGCGGCCCTTGCTGCACATGGTGAAGACCACCAGCCCTTCGGACATGCCCCGGGACTCAGGCATCTACGATTCCTCCGTGCCTTCATCTGAGCTGTCCCTCCCTCTGATGGAAGGACTGTCGACAGACCAAACAGAAACCTCTTCCCTGACAGAGAGTGTGTCTTCCTCCTCAGGCCTGGGTAAGGAGCAGAGGGGCACTGAGAGGGCTGGTGGGCCTGGCTGCTGTTATCAACCACAGCCTTTATCCACAATCCCAAAATCCACAGAAGGGGTTTTCTAATTTTGGTGCATGCTTATTTGGCAGTAATACCTGATGTCAAGTAGCACGAGTCTATTGATAGCCTTGATTTATGCTAGATAATAGAAATACTTGTTTGACCTGCAGAAATATTGATGTTACACCCTATGAGGGGTGTTATGTAATATACAGTATATAAATCATATTGTGTTTCTGTAACCCCAAAATATCTGAAGACCAAAACACGTTGGGCTCCGAGGGTTTTGGATAAGGATTGTGGACCTGTTCTTTATTGGGAAGGATCCCTGGGTGGCACAAATGGTTTGCACTTGACTGCTAACCTAAAGGGTGATAATGTGAACCCACTTAACATGCCATGGAAGAAAGCCTGGAGATCTCCTTCTGTAGGATTGCAGTCGAGAAAACCCCATGGAGCAGTTCTAGTCTGCATACATGGGTTGCCATGATTCAGGACTGACTCTACAGCGATGGCGTTATCTTTGTTGGGACCTGCGGTTTTTACCACCTCTACCGTCTCATTGTCTTTAAAGCCACATCTGTGGAACCAGGGACTTGCGAGTGCAGTACCCCAACAGAGCCCAGGTAGGAAGGCTCTGTGAGGAGACCCCTTTGGGCTGCTTCTTAACATGCCTGTGGCTGATTGGAGTCATGCATGGAAACCCTTGGCCCTCCAAGAATATCTCTTTGTTCCTCAGCTAGGGGCACCAAACCCTGTTAGTGGGATAAGATATTGAGGAGTGGGGTGGGGAATGCCTGTCTCACCTTGCAAAGCCTGTAGTCCAGATGCAGATCCCAGCCATATCTGGCACATGTGCCCAGCCCAGTGACATGCAGTGACCGTGTGACTCTGCCCTTTCTCCTTTCCTCAGGTGAGGAGGAGCCTCCTGCCCTTCCCTCCAAGCTCCTCACCTCTGGGGTGTGCACAGCAGAGCTCGAGTGCCACAGCTACACTGATGAACTGCATGCAGTCGCCCCTTTATAAGGAATGGAAGAGTCGAAGCATTGCCACTTTAACTGCCGCCTCTCTCTGGCTCCCCAGTCCCTCTGTCTGGTTGCACGGCTCACTTAGAGCTGAAGCCTTGGATAAGGATATTCTGAGTGAAATTTTGGCCAGTACTTGTTCCCTTTACCCTCAACTCTTGCCACCAGATACCTAGGGAAAATATCTGGTTCTCTAAAACAATATGGAGCTCCGAGAGGCACATCTGTAGGTCATTCCTTGGATTGTAGCCTGTTTCAGGGACGGGGAGGAGACATGTAAAGAGAAATAGGAAAATATTCACACTGATCATTCAGACTTATCTCAGCACATATCATCTATTTGTTGCTGGCTTCTTTGATTTGAAACACTTTGTGGAAAAAGCACTTGTAGTGTCATTACAGCCACAGAAGATCAAGAGCCACTCTCTCTGGAATTGGTGTCATTGCACATAATGTTCCTGTTGGTTCCTGATATGGAACTTTCACAATGCCATGGGCATTGAGTAAGCTCCAAGTCAGAGGGTGAGGAGGTGGCAGGATATAAAGTCACCTTTTATAAATCAAGTCTTTGTGTATTAGGGGTGATATGGCTGGCTGAGGCAGGGCTTGGGTGACCATCCTGACCATTTTGTCCAGAAAGTACCGCAGCACCTGGAGTCCCTTCCTAGGCTGAGTCCGAGTCATACAGGGGCCCATCTGTCTGCCAGGTGTCCCTGGGTTCCATTTGCCGCACTGTGTCTTTCTGATGTTGGTTCCCTATAGTTTATTTGTAAGAGACTGTGTCCAACTGGGCTGTATTGGCTGCAAGTTGGAAGTTCATGCTTTGGTTGGTCTGCTGGCCTAAAGCTGTGTCCTGCAATGCTAGGGAGCAGAATCCTCCAAAATGCAGCAGTGTATGGTGGTGGCCATCTATTCTGCTGAACTGGTCTTGACTAATGACAAGCCTTTTATTAAGGAGGTAGAAGGAAGGGGGTGGTCACAAAGCAGAATGTACTCTTTGATGACCATGTGAAGAAGACATGGTACCTAGAATCATTAAAATTCTCAAAGCTTAAAGTACTCCCCTTCCCAACCCGGTGAATCCTTGTTCCCTTGGTATTTCTGGTCTGCATCCTCAGTAAGAGATTTATCTCCTATGCTCCGTCCTATAAAAAATAGGCATTTAGAGCTTAGGAGGAAAGAATTTGCTTTAAAAAGGAAAAATGCACGTTCTCTTCTGAATGATTTCTCTATAGAATTCCTAGTTCCAAAGTGTTAACAGTTCTAATGCAGTTTGTTGTTTAGCATGCGTGGAAGGGTATGTGCTGGTCCCCCTGTGGAGTCCCTCTCCCCGGCCCCTCTCTTGCCCTCAAGGAGGTGTGGGCATCTTTCCCCACCTTTCCCCCACCCCACAGGCACTGTTGGAATTTGGCACCCTAGTTTCTGAGCACTGAGCACCAGGGGCCATTGCTTTCACCTTTTCATTTGACAGGACTGACGTGAAGGGATATGCTGCTGAGAAACATCCCAAGGAGGGTGCGGCTGAGGAGTAGGGGAGGATTTTCCCTTCCAGGCACGTGGGTAAGGGAAGGTTTGCACCCCTGCTGGAAAGAAGAAGTTTTGTGTGTATTTTTGATGCAAATGTCATACTCCCTGCTCTGGAAAGGCAGCTGGCAGCTTCTCAGGAGAAGAACGTGCTCGTCTGTTCTCTGGCATCGAGTTTCCTGCAGCTGCTCCGAGGACGAGACAAGTGGAGCTGCGAGATCATCTCCCCCATAAAACCAGGCATCTTGTTGGAGGGGAGAGGTTCCATGTTGTCACCTTGGAATTCAATACTAGCACAGAGCTCCTGTGCACACAGGACTGCCCTGCCATCTCAGCCTTGGCACACATTCTGTGGAAGCGATTGGTGCATCCCAGCTTTGATATATTATTGGAGAGATCGCCTGTTGAGGACAAGAAATGTTACATGCCCCAAAGGAACCATTTGGACTCACTTTTAGGATGCACATGAAGAGAGGTGGCTTTGAGAAAGTGGCCCCAGGGACAACATAGAGGACAGTGAGGGGGGGCATTGAACTGGGCCCCGTGGGTGGGGGCAGAGAGCTTGGCAGATGTACTTACTAAAAATGGAAGGGAAAAGGGAATGTACTAGTCCAAAAGGCAAGTAATTCTATAACTTGGATTTAGGGTCTGGAGTTACTTTGAAATACTAATGTTTTTGATGGTCAGCAAATTGAAATTCCAACACACATATACCAGGTCCTGGAGCCACAATGTGAATGCTTACCTCACAAGTAAGTGGAGAAGTTCTCTTGCCTCATTAGTTTCACTTTTTCACTTGCCCCATCTCATGCTGGGAACAGGAATGGCTGCCTTGCAGATTAAGGCAAAACATCTGTTTTAAGCAAAGCTGCATTTTTTTGACTCACACATTGTCCCTGACAGTGGAAATATTAAAATGGAATTCAGAGAAAGGTTCTGCCAAATCACAGACGTTTAGACCCCGAGGAAACAAGCATTAGAATATGTGGGTGATGTCAGTGAGAACCCTTGATCCTGAGAACAAAAGATGTTTGTGGATAAATTAGATGGTGTCCTGTGGAAAGGAGACCCAGGGTTCCAGGTAGCTGAGAAGCTGCTGGTAGGAGAAGGTAGAGAACGGTTGCACATCGGAATTCCCCAACACTCTGCAGAAAGGCTTTAGCATCTGACATAGCTTTGCCAGAAGAGTGATAAGGGAGGTTAAAAGCCAGGTAAAGACCTACCCTTCTCACAGAGGTTGTCTCCAGCAAAGGGGACCATCTCGCCAGACCCTCCCCTGCCATACAGTGTGCAGAAGGGCCTTTTGAGGGCAGTCTTGGGCCCTGGCAACACCTTGATCTTCAGAATGAATCAGAAGTCATTCAGATTCAGGCCCAGGCACCCAGGCAGGTGACCCAGCAGGGTAATAGTATTTTGTGCCAAAAATGAGACAGGGCCATAAAATCTGAAAGTGAATTTTCTTGGTTGCCATATTAGTAATAATGAAATAGTCCCAGATCAGGAGTTTTTTTTTTAAAAAAAGAAGTCTTTAGCAATGATGACATCAGTGGAAATCAGTGTGTAAGTAGATATTTAAGTTCATACATGTCAGAAGTTTAGTCTTGTTGCTTCACAGCCACAAGTGTTTGTTTTTTATAGTAGCTCCATCTAGTCTGAGGACCCTTGACTTAAGCATGAACAGGAAGACTGCCCCTCTGAAAATGTGAGGTTACATGATTTCCTGAGGTTTTTCTTTTTTCAGAATTGAACATCCTTTTCTTTAAAAGAAAAAAAGTTGTTTTATTCCTGAAGGAGAAATTATATCTCCTCTACCCCCAAAAAGAAAACCCTGTAGTCCTCAATCATGTCAACGCTAATTTGGCCCTCTTGGGGAGAGAGAAATGATTCTATGTCTTTATTGGAGAGAGGTGGATGGAGAATGCCCATATGAAGGTTAGCAGCCTTTTCTATTTTCTATTGCTAGTGAAGACTGCTGTCTTATTTAGCAGATGGTGTGTCTTTAGGGGCTACCAGTGTAGCAGGCCAGGGGTAAGAAAAACATCTATGAGATCATACGTGGCAACGACGTTCCTCTTCAGTGTCATACAATAGGGAGTGCTGGGGACTGCAGCAAACTTAAGAGCTCTCGGGTCAACTACTAGGGGTAGCTACTCTGGCCAGCTGTGGCCATGCCATATTTTCTAACTTTCCTATTTTTCAAGAGAAGCTGAGAGCCTAGATTTTTATATGAAATACTCTTTTTTTTTTTTTTTTTTTTATTTTTACTGTTGGCATTAAATTTTTTAAAATAAAAATTTTAAAGTAAATTCAGGCCCAGCAAAACTCATGGATGGACCTAATTTGGCCTACTGGCTGCCACATTACGAACTCTGTTTTAGAAGATTTGAAATGAAAGTTTTCCTTGGTGATTTTAGGTATGTGGTGTCTGCTGAAAAATGCTGTTGCTAAATGCAGCCATTAGGTGGACTGGACTGTGTCTTTCCCCCATCTCTCCCCTCCAAAAAATCTGATGTGATTCTGAATGTGTTTTAAATATTTTGATAGCTGAGGGAGCCCAAATTAGGGAAGAGAGAAGCATGTGTAAAGATTGCAAGGAATCAGTGAACTCTGAGGCTGTAGAAGCTGACACAGGGACCCCAGAGAGAGACTTCCCCTGTAGCTGGTGCCCTGAATTTGCACTTTTAGCCTCCAACACTGTGAAAAAATAAATTTCCATTATTTAAAGCCAATTTTTTAAAAAACTAGCTACTGTGTATTTCATGGTGTCTTAAGACAAAGGAAAGCCAGTTAATTACAGAATCAGATTTTGTTCTCCCAATTAAAAAAGAAAAAACACTTGGAACAATTTCACTTGAACTCCACAACCTGAAGGACCTTATTTATTGTTGTAGCTCTTGGTGTAATCATTTCTTAAAGACAGTGTGCAGTTCTGTGCTTGGGCCCAAGACAATTAGGAAAGCAGGCTTTTGTGGGAGACAGTGCAAGGAATCCCCTGGTGTCCACTGGAGCCAGGCATTTGCATCATCTTGTTTTAAATGATCTATGAACTGGCTGTGTTTTGGAGGTGTAAAACATAGCAAGAGAAGAGCTTTAACTGAGGTTGAGAGATCAGTTCAGAGCCCCCATGGGGTATCAGCATCCTTCCTGCAGCCCCTCCCACCCAGGCTCAGAGTGGAAATAAACAAAAGGAAGCCTGACGGTAAACTAATAGCATTGATTCCTGTCTCAGAGGATTGTGCCTGGGACAGAGTTTGGATTATCTGGTGTGTTCCCCTCTACAGTCCAGGCTGTACCTGAATTATTTCAGACATATGGCTGTGGATGGGATTCTGTATTTGCAATGAAGGCGATTCTGTAACGTAGCCTACTGATCAGAGAGTTCTTTGTATGTCTTCCTTATGGAAATTCCAACCAGCCTTCTTTTGTTCTATGTGTACAGGAGAAAGAATGGCTGGTCACCTTCCCTGTATTTGAAAA